GGATTAATTTGTAATTTACTCATATAAAATAGTGTTTTTTTTAAGTTATTAATAGTATTACAGCTTAGCTGATAAAAAGTCATTTCATTATGCATTAAACGGTTCACATTTGAATTTAACTCAAAAAAAAAAAAAAAAAAAGATTAAAAGAAAAAGAAGATCACCAGGTAGTTCAAAACTTCATGGTCGCGTTAATTAAAATAAATTGTTATAAACTCAGAGTCACAGGAAATTCATTTGTGCTTAACATATTAATGGTTAAAGTCATTTTTTACAGAATCCAACCCCTATCATACACGCGGTGGATCGTGATGCCCTCACTATGTGCACTCAATTTGCATGCATTTAAGTTGTAGCTGATGAAGATGGAAAGCTTAAATCAGATCAGCAGTTTCATGGTCGGCGGTTACATCAGATTTCCACCTACCAAAAGCTAATGCGATAGTGAAGAGTAAGTAATGAATTAAACAATTGAACTGGTTTTACCATTCTGGCGGTTGGCATGTCCATTTTTCAGGACCCCATTCGTCGATGAGTTTCCTTAACACTAGGGAAATGCAACAGATAATTGCTTAAAGGAGATAGGAACCATTTATTTTTTCGGTCTCGAACTGTTATTGAAAAATGGTGACCTCATGGTCATCCTGCAAATTTCAATAAAAATTATTCCAAGGAACAGGAAAGAAAGCTGTTATTCATTCATCAGAAAAGAAAAAAAAAAAAACTCTGGTGTAGCCTTTAGCATGGCTGAGTTATTTTCTAAACGAAGGAATGAAGTGAAAAAATCATATTGGGCAGACATGGGAATTGGGACATGTCAGAGAGTGCACAATTGTCCTCTGGGTGATTATGGTTCAGGGACCAATGCACCATCAAATGGTCCATGAAGATGGAGATAGCGAGGGCTCAAGGATACAGATAGAGCAGTATAATTTATTTCATAATGAGCTCCAATGTACACTGCCTAAAGCCAATTAATACATATCTTTTTTACATTCAAAAGCTGGTAAAGGTTGGATTGATGGATAGAGATTTCCGTTCACTGTTGGATGAATGACATCAAAGTCATTCATCAAAGTTTGTTACTGTAGACATGGAAAGATTAGGGTCTGCTCCACCATAGCAGGCCTTATGGATGACTTTATGTGCACCATCCGCAGGCCTTACGGTGTAGCTTTTAATTTTCCCCATTTCACTTTGTCTTGATCAAGGCCGCTCAGTTAAAAGTTCAGCATTTGTGGTCCTCAAAGTGCCTTAAAAGGAATACTTCTCATAATTCATAATAAACTAGTTCGTGTCGTATAGATTCTCTCCTATGTGGCCACAGGAAATATAATCAACCACTCCAAAAGAATTGTTCATGAATGAAACACGAGCTGAGAAACAAGGAATGGGACTATAGAAAGCTGGAGGCTACGTTGCTATCAGATTCACGTTCTCTGGGGTTGGTGATCCCACAAAAATATTGAGTGTTCACAGACAAGCAGACCGAAAAAATGATACGATAAAGTTAACAACTTTGCCATTAAACGCAAGGGTTGCCGCCCCCATTGACCATCACTCTCCCCTCAAAAGAAGAAAAGATAACTGGGTTGGTTAGACCCTTTTCAAGTTGCTTAGAGAAGCACATAATGAAAGCATTGCCGTGGCCTCAAAAGAAGAAGAAGTCTAGAACGATCATAAAGTTCCGCTCCTCAGTTCATGGTAGTAATCCATTGCAGCTATACTGTCGTTGAAAATAATTCCAAGTGATAGTTCACAGTTCTAAGTTCTTTAGATAATAACAGACAGAATAACTTTCAGACTCCACACCCCATAGCCAATTCTGACTACAAGTTCTCACAGTCCCTGCTTAAACCGAGCTCGAGAGATTATTCCTCTACAAGGGATGCGATTCCATTGTGGCTTTGTTCTAATATTGATGCAATTCCTTGCTATAACTCTTCCACATAATTTCAGTATGAGAAAACTCCAGAAGCTATCAAACCGGGAAGGAATTCGAGCCAACATGCAACGACCCTTGCTGTAAGCCTGTAACATCTTACAACTAATCTAAATCGACTAGGACGGGGTTCAATGCTGACAATTCGATCACAGCACCTAAAATATTCTATCGTCTCCCAAGCTCAAGGACTCCTATCCTCACTATTTCCGTTGCAGCGGGGTCTTGTTGCAAGAACACAGACAGAATACAAGACAAGGCTTCGTGAGGATAAAGACTGACGATAATTCATTTGATTGTGCCTGACAGCTCCTCCACTAACACAATACACATGCTGCTAATTATAAGAACCACCATTGATGCAGTTTCACTGTACTGCAACTTCACCTTCATATTAAAAAAAAAATAGCATGAACTAGTCCATGCAATATGGCCGTATCCTGAATCAAAATAAAGCCCAAAAGCTAGAAAAATTGATACATCCAGATAACATGTAAATAAGTTTCACAAGCATCCATCATGTTTGACTTGTAGACAGATAACATGCTTACAAGTTTCACAAGCCTCCACCATGTTTGACTTATGAACACAACTGCTTAATTTTTTTTTTAACTCACTCACTCAAAACCCCTAACAGAACTAATTTACTAGATTTGAACCAAGAGTCCACTACCACAGAGCTAACACAACTGCTTTATTTCTCTTGTGGTCCATCCGGACAGAAGGCAGGCAAACGAAACCACAACAAAGCTATAGACGGACGGACACCATCATATTAACATCAAGAAACTTCTCCAATTGATATCAGAGTTTGTTGACATAAAAATATAAAAAAGGGATTCTACCATTCTTTTATCCAACTTAACGAATCCCTTAACTATATAAACAACCACTAAACCTAAAATCAAGAATTTTAAATCTTTTCACTTGTTACTGCTATTCTATGCAACTTAACAAATCCCTTAATTATATAAACAACCAGGAAACCTAAAATCAAAAATTTTGAATCTCTTCATTTGTTACGGCTATTCATCATTTCTCCTCCTACCTGCAACACATCCTTTTCTAAATAATCCTTCCCTTCCTGACACTAACTTGATTGTCAAAAAAATTCTTCCACCCAACAAAGAATCCTCCTTCCAACCTAAAAAACTTGTTTTGCAAGTATTCGTACCGTCACGACCACCACCAATCAACATGCACCACCATCCTAACAACAACCACTGAATAGCTGCATCATCCCTGAAGGTTAAGCAACCTCATCAAATACCACTCCAATCTAGCGATCTCTGAATTAACCTTAAAGATGGTCATACTTAACTTTATGTATACATAATGGGGGAATGACAATAAAGCGTAGCATAAAGCTTCATGCTTGTTTCAAGACTCAGAAGATTACATCCTTCCATCAATTGTCAAGAGTAAAAACATTCAAACGGAGAACAACAGGCAATCAGGGTAAGTCCAGCCACAGTTTGTCAGCAATATAATAGTACTGAGAAACTGACAAACAGGGACACATAAAAAATAAAAGGCATGTAAAAGTTAAATAAGCAGATAAGTAGAGGTACAACTTGACATGGTGAAGATTTTTATGTGTACCAAAGGAGGAAAGCCCTTCAAAGCAAATTGCTACTAACAATCCATTGATCCACTTTATTACGGAATCAACCATCCACAACCCGCATATACATTCACCTGGTACTACCCTCCTGATCCCTACCAAACCAGTTGAAAAAGCAACCATTTTGACCCAACTAACACTAAATTCCTAAATAAAAACCAAACCCGGAAAAAGACTGGACCCCAATAAAGAGCAATAGCAAATAAATAAATCCATTAAGGATCGGGATCAGCTTCAGCATCAGAACCTGTCCACCTTATCAGCCTTAATCACAGGATTCGCATTGGCGATTGCATTACGGCCAGCACCCTTGAAATCAAAGGAGCAATCGTGATTCTCTGCGTACCTATGACTCCCGCAGTATGTGCCACCACACTTGCACTTGAATCCTGTCAGGCCAACCTTCTTATTGCAGCTGAAGCATCTGTTTGCCGGCTTCGATGGCAACTGATCACCAACCGCAAAGACAGTTTCTGCCGATGAAGAGGGTTCAGCGGATTGCGTGGAATTAGCCACCACAACATGAGGGGCATCAAAAACACCAACCTTAGAGTCAACATGTTGTTTTGAATTGATCTTAAGAGTCTTTTCCATAGCAGCCTTAGCAGAAGCAGCTTGCTCTTCTTCGGCACGAAGGTCACGGTAACACTTGGAGCAAAGATTCATGTTTGCAGCCGTGCCAAAAAAACCACACCCATTAGCACAAAGCTTTGGCTCTGCTGGTGGAAAGCTTGTGCCTTCGTTTTGCTCAGAACCCATGTTTTCTTTCTTGTTCCTATAGTCAGACAAACACCATAAACAAGGTTATCAAACTTTTTTCTGGTTCTTGTAAAACCCAATGAATCGAAAGAGACAGAGATCGTATATTATTCGTGTAGTTTCTATCAATCTAATGAGAAATACATACATCATTTATAAAGTGGCGGTGGCTGTTTATGTATTTTATGGTAATAAAATACTTTACTCGTTTAAATTAATTTATAGCTTGGCTAATCTACCCTCTCACTGCTTGCTAAAGAAACGGATGGGATATTCAATATTGGGCTATTCGTGCAACCATAGAATGACGACATCGACCCCACGTGAGTTCTTTTCTAACGCTACTAAGGAGGACAATATTGACTTTTTCTAAAAAAAAGAAAAGGATTCCAAAAAGAAATTCCAGGACCTTCTTGAAGAATCCAAATAACTGTTGGCTCCAGCTCATAGAAAGAACTCATTCTATGTTTTGTCTTTAATTAATCGATATCGTCACCTACTTAAATATGAGTAAACAATAAAATCTGGACCGTTCAAATTCTTCGTGATTAAGGATCAAACGGCTACACCTAATCCACCCCAAAAAAAAAAGGGAAAAGGCAAAGATATCATTCGATTTCTCCAGAAATCTGTTTTCATCGACGAACAGCATGAGAAAATGGAAAAACTATAATGCTAAGACACGATCTGTTGATGCAGTACAAAAAAAGACTCGTTAGATTCCATACCTGGTAATAACCTGAAGAAAATTGGAACTTTTGAACGCTCTCTAACTCCTGTTTTTGTTGCCGAAAGATTACTCTGAATCAACGATCACAAATAAAATATTGATTCAATTAACATAAGAAAGAAATTAGTTTTTGCAAGTCGAGATAGAGGCTATGAAAAAGGAAGAGAGAACTGAAAGGTGACCAAAAACCCTGACTTTGGAGTCGATTAAGGTTAATAAAGAAAGAACAAAGAGCCAACCTCTTGCTGTTTTTTATTTATGTTCGTTTCTAAGGTACACCCACCCACGGTTTTATTCTTTTTATTTTTTTCTAACGTCGGCAAAATAACGTATATAGTACATCGTATTATCATAGAACAGCAAATCTTAGCTGTCTGATAAAATTCTAAACTCGCTATGACGTCATTATTTTACAATCGCCGGTTCATTAGTGGTGAGCATATGGAGCGTATTTATGTAATCTTCCATTTAATCTTTTTTTTTCCTTTTTTTTTTTTTTGGGAGAATATTAAAAGCTCTTTCCCAAAAAGAGAGAGACCTGCCTTTTACAAGCCAAACTCTTCGTTCACACGCTTCTTCCCGAGGCAGGTTCCAAGGCCCTACTTACTTTTAACTGGGTCGGTGGGGTCATAACCAACATTCTAAATCGGGTCCACTTGCTGTTGTTGTGGGTCCTGTACATGGAAAGATTAACGTTATGATAATGGATTTAATGGAAAATTTTTCGATTTTACTAGCTAGATATCCGTTTTACATTAAAGTTAACGATTCATATGGTATAATACCAATTGAAGTTTTATTTTTGATGATTAATATAAATTGAATCTATATATTGAGTAAAATCGTTTGATTTATATATATCTATTAACAAAATATTTAATAATATTAGCATAAAAATTTGTATTTGAATCATTATGAGCTTCTTTCAAAACATTATCTAACTTATTCTGTTTAAAAAAATTTTTAAATCTAAAAAAATAAAAAATAAATAATTGATATTATGTGTGTAAATATATAGTTAATTTCTAATAAAACTAATATATATATATATAGATTCAAAGTATATAAAATAAATAAAAAATATACAAAAAAAAAACCCTAAATAGTATGAAATATATTGAAGTTAATGTATTAAAATAAAAACTACAATAAAATTAGTTACGCTAAATTCCGAATATATATATATATAAGCAAATAAAGCTTGTGATTTTTTTAATCGATTATTAATTTTTTTATAAAAAATTAAGCCAAACTATCTAAAACATACTCTCAACTCTCTCTCTCTCTCTCTCTCTCTCTCTCTCTCTCTCTCTCTCTATATATATATATATATATATATATATATATATATATATATATTAAAAAATAAAACACTCATTTAAAAAACATACAAATAATTTATTGTATAAATTATAATCATATATATTTTTTTAAAGTAAAACACCGACGTCCTAAATTTTTATTCCAAAATTCATATATTAACGTCAAAACAAAGACCAACGGTAGAGAGGAAGGAAAGGAACTTTACGAGCGAGATAAGAGAGGCTCCTAAAGAAATAAAGATAAAAAACCAAATTTGTTAACAAATAAAATTATATCAAAAAAATAATTTGATGAGAATTTTAATAAGAAACAAATAATTGAAGAAATAAAGTTTAAATAATAAGAGTAATATAATTAAACATATATATTCAAACTAAAATCTAAAAAAAATCATATATATTCTATCATCTTCAAACTATACGTGAAAAAAAAATAACAATTTATTTTCTAGATTTTTCACATCTAATTTCATAACATATATATATATATATAACAAAAAGGAAAAAAGGCTAGGATCGCTAAATTATATGAAATATATTGAAGTCAATAGATTAAAATAAAAAATACAATAAAATTAACTTTGATAAATTTCAAATATATATATATATATATATAAACAAATAAAACTTGTGAATTTCTTTGATCGATTATTAATTATTATTTTTTTAAAATTGAGCCAAACTATTTAAAACATACTCTCAACTCTATCTCTCTCTCTCTCTCTCTCTCTATATATATATATATATATACACACACACACACACACACACACACATACATATACATCTCTTTCTCCTTAAAGAGAAAAGTTGTAAAGGGAGGTCATTCATCTTGTCTTATAGAGAAAAAAAAACATAGAGAAAAAAAAAAAAAACTCTCCACTAATTTCTCTCACAAAATCACTACTATCAACAATAACATAATAATAATAATAATAATAATAACAATAAAAACCTTCCACTCATCATCTATATCCACTACAATCTAAACCACACAAAAAGCATCTCAAAACCTCCTTCAAATCAACCCCAAATTTGGCAACCTTCTTCCCTAAAATGACTATCTAAATCTACCCAAAACTGGTTCAAACCAAACCCAAATTTCTCTTGCTGACATGATTGACTTTTAAAGGAAGATCTTATCATTTCTCTTGTTTAGAGATCTAGAACGAAAAAAGACTTTTTTCGAGTTTAAAGTACACATTATAAATTTTTTGGATTCAATATAAACATACAAATCCATTCTAGTTTGATCCATCAAAGTCGAATGCAAAGTTGAGTTAAAAATTCGGATCCCATGACAATTCAAAATATTGTCTAGTGTTTGGACCATATCCGGAGCTATACACATTAGATTATGATTATTCAAAATCCTATAGAAAGAAGACATCTAGACCTAAAATCTTTATGAATAGCCTATATCAAAAGAAACCTCCATCTAATACAAAATCAATCCAGAATATACAGACCTAAGATAACCCTTTTGCTCGCCACCACCGTCCAACCTTGTTGTCACCACTGTCTAGCCTTCAAAATAACCTCAAAACAGCCCCAAGATAGCCCCAAGTTACTTGGTCAAAAAGCCCTAAGACTATCCAAAACAAAACCTCTAAATCATCCTTTAAACGCTAAGTTGAAAATTCGTGAGTTGTTTAAAAATTTAATTATTTGGTCTAGTTACCAATTTCATTTAATTTGAAATTTTAGGGTTCATACATATGCTTGTCCTTATTTTTTCTTTCAAATTTTATAATTTTAGAAGTCCATTTGCTATTTATTTGTAATTTATTTATTATTTTGCTATTATTTCAATTATCGGTATGAGTTGTTTCAAAATTTAATTATATGGTCCAATGTCCAATTTATTTAAATATAAAATTTTTAAGATTTGTTCCTATAATGTTCTTAATTTGTGTTTTAAATTTCATAATATTAGAAGTTCATTGGCTATTTATTTATTATTCTACTCGTTATTTTATCGAAATTTAATTATTTAGTCCAGTTTTAGATTTCATTTGAATCTGAAATTTTTAGGTTTTGTATATATACTTGTTCTTAGCTTGTGTTTTAAATTTTGTAATTTTAGGAGTTCATTTACTTTTATTTACAATTTATTTATTATTATTCTATTATTTTAATTATTAGTGAGGGTTGTATTGGGATTTAATTATTTAATCTAGTTTTTTCGATTTAATTTTGACGTGAAATTTATAGGAGATGTGTACATATATACTAATAAGCTTTCTATAAAATTTTCATTGAATTTAGATTTTTTTTTTGTTATTTTTTTTGGTATTTTCTATTATGTCTCACTTATAATTCATTTTACTTATTAATTATTTGAGTCAAAATTTATTTAGTTAGATGTGAGATCATCAAGTCTTTTAGGTTTTAGAGACTGATGATGATCATATCAAATTTAGTTTATAATTAGAAAAGAACACATTTTCTTAGGGTAATTAGAAAATTTAATTCGAATTAATGAGTCTTTTGTTTAAATAAGACTTGATGTAAGTCTCGACCCTCAATTAAAAATTAATAATAAAAAAAGGAATAAAAGGGAGAGAATTAGCTGGAATAAATACAAATCAATTTAAACACATTTAGCTAATTAGGTCGTTTCTCGACATGTTGATCCTGTTATGATGTAATTGGATTCGATGTTAATTGACATGAATTATAACCTTAAGGTTCGACGTCAATTTAATATGATGCTACAAATAAAAAATAAAAATTAATTTGACATAGATGATAAATAAAGTTGAAAATAGACTTAGGAAAATAATTTGGCAAAAACATAATTTTTAAAAGATATTCATAGGATTAGACTAAATCCGATACCTTTTTATAAAAAAAAATACTTTTGTGTGATTGTTATTTTTTCAAAAAATAACAAACTTTTTAATTAGAATTTCTGAATTTGCGGCTCATTTTTAGGTTTTCAATTACCTTTAATATTAGGTAGTGACTCTAATTTTTTTTTTAATTCTTTCTTCTTTTCATAAATTTTTTTAAAGTCCTTTAAATGTGGGATAGTGACATCTATTGTTCAATTTGCCTAATTATCTAAATTAATGATGAATTTTTAAGACTTGGAAATGTTTTTAACAATATTCGAAGTAGGGTGCACACTAACACAAAACTTAAAAGTATAAGGATTCGAAAGGATTTGGCGATTAGATGTGGTTGAGATTTAAAAGAGTGAGGGCGGGTGCATGGGTCCTTTGTGTTTATAAATCTTGGAATTGGCACGTTTACGACACGTTAGTTTGATGGGTGTGGCAAACATTTTGCTCGTTATAAGACAGACTTTATGGGTTGGCCCTAGGGGTGATCAAACGGTTCGGTTAACCGAAAATCGAATTAAATCGGACCGAATTGTGAAATTTGGTATGGGTATAAATTAAAAAATGTATAATTTATAACCGAACCGAAAAAACCAAAATAATTTCGGTTCGGTTGGTTTTTTTTTAAGAAACGGTTTGAACCGAAAACCATTTTTTTTTATTCCTAATTCTAATTCTGAATAAGTGAATAATATCTAAATATCTAATCATCTAACCCTAATTCGCTATCTCACACTCGGACACTCGGTAGCTCTCGCCTCCCTCTCCGCCTCCAGACTCTCCCTGTCCCCGTCTCCCTTACCCGGACCCGGTTACCCTTAGCTGCCTTTTTCGTCTTTCCTTTCCTTTTGAGGCGGACGAAGTCACGCGGCGGCCGGTCGGCCACCGTCGCCGCCCGGCATTCCGGCAAGCACCGCCGACGACGAGCAAAATCGGTCTCTCTCGTAGTCTCGTTCTCGTCTCTCGCACTCTCAACACAAGTCTTCTGCTGCTGTTCTTCACTCTCCAGTCTCCACTCCAGGTGACAGCAAGTCTTTCTTCGTCTCTCGCACTCTCGGCCTTTCACGGATCTCACACTCTCAAAGCCTCACTCTTCTTCTGTCGTTCTTCACTCTCCACTCTAGTGACGGTAAGTCCTCCGGGCTCCAATCCTCTTTTAATCTTCCTTCGTTAAGCTTCGTGTCTTTCAAGGTTAGTCTCTTTTATTTTAATTTTTTTTTGCACGATATGTGATAACAACGGTGTATTAGGCATAGATTATATTGTTTTTTAGATTCCTTAGTGAGTTTTGATAATCGATATGTTTTTGTTACGCACTATGGTGTTATCTTGGTTGGAAGCCCGAAGCCTTGCCTTGAAATGTTTATTGTGTCCTGTTGGCATCCGTGATCTGTTTTCCTTTTTGGTTGCTTGAAGTATGTGATTCCGCACTTTATTTGCATTAGTTTGGTTATCAAGTTCGTGTTTTGGTTTTAGCTAGGGTAAGGGTGACGATTTGTTCATGTTTAACTCCTATTTTCTTTTCTCTTCTTTGTTTGTTTACGGCCTTTTTCGTTTTAGCTAACATGGTTATCAAGCTTCCCATTTTGCACTTTATGTTGTTTTCTCTTTTATTGATTGTTTTCCTTTCTTTCCTTTCAAATGAATAATGAAATGATTACTTGTTACGGATGGGATTAGCACACGCCACCACTATGAGGTATTTTTCCAAGGCTAGGAGCTACTTGTACGTATTGTGTTTGGCACGTTTTTATGTGACTTTGAATTTACAAGAACTTGAGAGGTTGGTGATTTTGTTGAAACCAAAGAAGGTGGTGGCGGGATCCTTGCTTGAGCTAGATTAGCCCCGGTTGAGAGAAGCGATACTAGTGCGGACATTGTGCGGATAATAGTAGAGCCGATCTCAAACGAGCTAGATTTTATTGCTTTCTTGGCTCATAAGATGTCTTCATGGAGTGAAAAGGAGGACTTGTCTAGTTATGTTTGCTTGCAATAGCATATATATAGAGAGACGAGAGAAGGAGGAAGAAATATTTTCTTCAATATTTTTCTTTTTGCTTTTAGACTAGAAGGTTTATCTCTTTTTCCAATTCAAAATCCGTGTGTCGAGGCATGTGATAGATCTTTGACTATTCGGCTTCCAAGTTCCAAAGCAAAACCTAAACTCTGCAGATTTGGTTAGTAAGTTTGTTAGTATAATTTATCGGTCATGTGATGATCGGTCATGTGATTAAATAGTGTCATGATTGGTTAGTGATTTTGTTAGTCTAATTTATTAGTATAATAGTGTCATGATCGATCTGTTTTAGCTAACATGGATCCTCCCCTAGTGTTGTTAGTCCGGTTACCATGTAGAGGACGGGAAATGGGAAGCTTGGAAACAATCAATAAGGTAGCAAATGGATGTATGGAAATGCGGAATCGGTTGAAAGGAAAGACTAAAGAACACGTGAGGATGTGAATGGTAGCCAGTTAGGGAGGGAGTTGAGTTAGTAAGCTAACATGGCAAGAGTTAGTTATGGTTGTTAGATTGAGAGGGAAAGTTAGTTAGAAATAAACACTTGTATAAATCATGAGTAATTCATTGTAAAAGAGCTATTCTGTCATTTTAGATCAATATTGAATTTACTCTTCTTGCTGATTTCTCTGTTGATTACTTTATTGTACGTTCTTCTTGCTTGGTTCTTGATTTGCATAACTAATTCTAAAATTGATAGTTGTTAAAATCTTTAAGCTGTTGTTAATCTTTATTTAGTCTTGAAAGGATCATTAAAACCTGTAATTCATCATTTCATTTAGAATTTGGCATCACACAAGTAAAACTAAGCTAAATTCTTATCCACAAAGAACTGTCCATTGTTGTTAAGCAATCTTTCTTCATTTATCTTCTCATTTTCTCTCTTTTAATCACATACATATAACCGAAAATTGGATAGATGAAATGAATGCTTAAAATTTCTACATAATTAAATGAATAGAGTTTAATTACTTGAATGAATTCGGAAAAAAAAATGAACATACTTTTTCATATACCCATGTAATTTTAATAGCATTTGTTTTGTGTATGAAAGCTATTAAGCTATTTATTTTAGGGTTAGACTACTTTTTTGTTTGCTACTGATTTAGGGGAGGATCTTCAGAATTCTACCCAACTTTGGTACTTGTCTAAGTGTCTACTTGTCTTCACTCTTCATTATGGACGAGTTGGACACACCTTTTGTTAAGGCGAGGCGGTAGCATGCGCCTAAATTTGATTTTAGGGTTAGACTACTTTTTTGTTTGCTACTGATTTAGGGGAGGATTTTATAGAATTCTACCCAATTTTACTCTTGTCTAAGTGTCTAGCTGTCTTCACTCTTCGGTATGGATAGTTGGACACACCTTTTGTTAAGGCGAGGCGATAGCATGCGCTTATATTTGATTTGAGGGTTAGACTACTTTTTTATGGTTATCAACGGTAGGCGAGTTCCATTCCATATTATGCTACCAACTTGGCAACTTGTGTATATTTATTATGTTTTTTGATTATTTAAGAGTATGAAGCTTAATACTCTTGTTCCTTTGTTATTTATGTAGATGTCACAATCTCAATCCGAAGAGATGAATTATGAACATGTGAGTTCAAGCAATCCCAATACACAATCAAGTGTAGGTTTAGGTCCAACTTCGATTAACAATCAAGAAGATGTCAAAGGAAAGAAGAGGAAATCAATGAAGCCAAGATCGATGGTGTGGGACCATTTCACAAAGTTTGAAGATGACAATAAAGACATGAAGGCTAAATGCAACTATTATGCTAAGGTATTTGCTTGTAATCCTTCAAAAAATGGGACAACCTCACTTAGGTCTCATATTTTGACTTGTAAAAAAAACCCTTTTAGTTGTATTGACTCTACACAAACTCAATTAGACCTTAGAAGGCTTGAAGTGGGAGAAAATAGTCTTAGCACATGGAAGTTTGATCAAATTGTTAGTAGAAAAGATTTAGCTAAAATGATCATTCTAGATGAACTTCCATTTAAGCATATAGAGGGTAGGGGATTCAAAAAGTTTTTGTCTAATTTGCAACCTAGATTCAAACTTCCATCTCGTTTTACGATTTCAAGAGATTGCTATCAACTTTATTTAGATGAGAAAATAAAGTTGAAGCAATTTTTGAAACAAAATAGTCAAAGAATTAGCCTCACTACGGACACGTGGACATCCATTCAAAGAATCAATTATATGTGTTTAACTTGCTCATTTTATTGATAATGATTGGAAGTTGCATAAAAAGATCTTGAATTTTTGTCCGATTGATAGTCATAAAGGAGTAGATTTAGGTATTGCCATTGAGAAGTGCTTGATTGATTGGGGAATTGAGAAGGTTTTTAGTGTTACGGTTGATAATGCAAGTTCGAATGATGTGGCAATTAGACACTTAAAAGATGTGATTAAGAATTGGGGTTATAGCATCTTAGATGGAGAATTCATTCATATGAGGTGTATGGCACATACTTTGAATCTAGTTGTTGCTTGATGGGTTAAAACATTTTAATCCTTCGATCGTTCGTATTCGATCGAGTACGTTAGGTTTGTGAGGCAATCTCCGGCTAGGTTGAGAAGATTTAAGGAATGCATTCAACTTGAGAAAATTGATTCTAAGAGTTTGTTACAACTAGATGTCGCAACTAGGTGGAATTCAACATGTTTGATGTTAGAGTCGGCTCTAAAGTTTGAGAGAGCTTTTAAGAGATATGAGCAAATTGATCCTTTATATAGGAGTGAATTTGATGTAGATCTTTGTGATAATGTTGTTGGGCCACCTAATGTGGATGATTGGAAGACTTGTAAAAAGATGGTGGGCATGTTGAAAATTTTTTATAACCTTACTTTGCGCATTTCGGGTTCCTTGTATGTGACTTCAAATATTTTTTTTGAAGAGATTTATGCGCTTGAACATGTTTTCAGAAAATGGCAACGAAGTGAGGATTTTGGATGATTTTGCATTGGCTAATAAAATGAAGGAAAAGTTTGAGAAGTATTGGGGGGATATTAAGAAAATGAATAAGTTGATTTATATTGCGACAATACTTGATCCTAGGCATAAACTTGTATTTATTGAATTTTCAATCAAGGAATTGTATGGTGATTTAGAGGGTCAAAATATGTCAAATATTGTGAAGGGATCTATAAATGTCATGTATGATTTCTATTGTCGTTCATCATCTCAAGATGAAATTGGGCAAACTAGTGGGAGTTGGGGAATAGATGTGGATTGTGCAAATAAAGAAATGATTGATGAAGAAAATAGAATAAAAATGGAGATAATGATGCGTTTTGAAAAATACAAGTATGATATTGGAAGTGGAGGAAATAAAACGGAGTTGGACAAATATCTTGATGAAAGTGCTGAAAATAATAGTGCTGATTTCAAGATTTTAGAGTGGTGGAAAACCAATGCTCCTCGGTTTCCCATCCTTTCACAAATGGCTAGGGATGTATTAGCGGTTCATGTTTCTACGGTCTCCTCGGAATCGACATTTAGCTACGGAGGAAGAGTTTTTGATCTGCTTTAGGAGTTCTTTAACTCCTACCTTAGTGGAATCTCTTATATGTGCTCAAGATTGGATTAAAAATTCATCGACGCCAATTATTATTGAAGAAAATTTACAAGATGTAGAGAAAATGCAAAATGGTAATTTACTATAACTCTTATCATTTAATTTGTTATTTCTTTCCTATATATTAATGATAAAGGGTTAATTTTTTTATCTTTTATTTTTCAGAGTTACCAATTGCCGGTGCCACTAACTCTACTATAAATGTTTGATAGGTTGATTACTCGATAGTGTTTTGGCTTTTTGAATGATATGTGTAAGTTATTAAGTTTTTAAGATTGATTTTTTTATTTACGTTGCTTATGCATGGTTGGATGTTTGACTTGCATCTGGTCAATGCTACTGGCCTACTGCCTACCGACCTTGAATTAAATTTTCATTACACATATCAAGGTCTGTCCAAGTGTCCATTGGATGTCCGACGATGTCCAACGCTCCGAGGCGACCAAGCTGTTGAAGGAGGCTCGAAAGGCTCGAGGTTGTCCGAGGTTACAAGCAAGACTCTTTATTGTGAGAAATTTTCTTTATGGTTTTTGGATGTGTAGTCATTTCTAATCTAGATTTTGGTATGTAAGTATGTTGTATTGTTGATGAATCTTTCTTTTTTCTTTTTTTACGTTCTTTGAGGTGTTGAATTGTTGGTAGTCAAAGACTCAAAGTCTAAGTAAGAATGTTGAATGTTGCTTTCCATATTTCCATATTTGTTAAATGTTGTGTGATTTGTATCTCGTCAATATTTGGCTATTTGGTGCGTCCGATGTGTACGGTTGATTGGTTGATTGGTTCTGCTTAATGCCGTCTACCTTCGGTGTTTACGTGATTACGTCTACTTGCCTTCGATTGCTACATGTTCATGTCCGCTTACGCCTAGTGCCTTCGGTTCTTTGCGTACGGTTTGGTGAGTCTAGTGCATTCTTTTTATTTTTGAGTTTATTGATTTTAGATGAGTTTTTTAGTTTTCTTGCAATTTTAGACTTTAATTTGTTGTTTGTTAGGTGATTAGGATTGGTTATATTATACGAGCAATGCCGATATTTGTCATGATGGTTGATGGTGGCCAATTAGCCAATCACATATTAGCCTTGTGGTTGTTTCTTTATGTGAATGGTCGGTAAGCTTACCGAAAGCGGCTCTGTGCCTCTGTTAGAGCGAGGATAGCATCCAATTTATGGTCATCAATCATGTTATCCTTGGAACCTTCTCGTCGAATGTTTTGGAACTTTCATTGTTATCTTAGTTCACTATCTTGGAACTTTGATTGTCATCTTAGTTTATAAATGACTTGCAAACAATTTTAGGATGTACTTATTACATTTTTTTAATACTAAATTAGTTTCTAATACCATAAAAATAAAAATCTTTCACGGGAATAAAAGTTTGGTTATAACCGAATTATTTCGATACCGAACCGAAATAATTCGGTTACAAACCGAATTAACCGAATTTAGTTTGTTTCGATTTCGGTTTTTATTTTTTCTAATTCGGTTAACCAAAAACCGAACCGAATTAAGGTTAACCGAACCGTTTAACCGTTTGCTCACCCCTAGTTGGCCCGGTATAGCCTTGCTATGGCATCACGAGTGACGTTGATGTTAGGCGTGAACGGGCTCGTTATGCTCGTTGCTTTGTCTGGGCGATTTGTGTCATCGAATAATGGTTTTTTCTTTGTTTAGAAGGATAAGTTAGTTTTGTTTGATCATTAAAAAACCATCTCATTCCAAATTAAAGATTTTTTTTTTTAACCTCGACCATACATCGTGGTTACAAGACTAATGCGGGATGTTTGATGTTATCGGATGATAATTAATATTTGCGGTTAATACTATTTTCTTGAATTATAGAACTTGTTTTTTAAAACATTATGAAAAGTTATTATACCTTTCAAATAAATTATATATATATGATGATCATATTGTAATTTGCTTTCCGAAAAGGCAAATTGTAATTAAATTGCTCAAAACAATTGAGTATGCGAGAAGATTGGTTCAATGAAGCAACTTTTATGCAAGTACTAAAGGGAAATAATTTTTCTTACACTTTTTATTCTTACATAAACGTGCGTAAAATGATTTAATTATAAGATCCTTGTTAAGAAAAAGGAGAGAGATAGTAAAACCTTTTATACCCAAAAAAGAAGAAGAAAAAAGAGTGCACTTGATATGAACATGGGCCGCCCAAACCTTAATGTTATCATTGACAAGGAGATAGATTGTTTTATTTTGGGCCTAATCATAAGAGCTAGGGCTAAAAAGTTTCATAAGTCTTTAAATGGGCCTATTCAACATCAATGGGCTGATTTCTCCATCACTAGGTTTAAAGAACATCAATTAGGACTTGTGAATCGAATCATATTATTGGGATGAAAGTTTCAAACTTTAAATCCAATCCGATCGAACTTTCTTAGCTTGATGTTTTGGGTCGAGATTGTTAAGTGGCAACTATAGAATCAATCCACTTCCAAGCCAAAGTCACCATTATTTTCAAGTCAACAAAATCAAAGTTTGGGGTCGAAATCTTAGAAGACTTGAATTAATGTTTAATTATTGTTTTTGCTAGATCCTAAATCATACTTATGCTTTGTTGAATTCTAAGCAAATTAGATTATTAGCTTTCCTAGAATATCAATTTAGCCTTTATAAGGCAAAATAATGTAATTCAGATTATTCAAGCTTTGATTAATTAAAATATTTTATGAGAATTCTCTCCTTAATTCTTTCAAGAACTCGCTCTTCGAACTTATCAAGAATCTAACAATTCTTGTGGCGTTCATAGCGACTTATCGCTCCCCTTCTACCTATCCGGAGGGCGGCATTCATATCCTTCTCGGATCTTTTTTAGCTTTGCGGGGTTCGTTCAACTTATTCGTGAGTTCTCTAGTCGAGAGCTAGGTGGGTTTACATCATTTAGTATCGGAGCTTGGCTCTAAATCAAGTTCTTTTTCTTCATTATCTTTTATTCTATTTCATATCTTTATAGTTTTGTTTTAGTTCGACTTGAGTCAATTTCCAATTAAAAAAAAAAGGAAGTCCGATTTGCTTCATTGCTTTCTAATTGGTCTAAATTGCATATGTTATCTTTTTTTCAATTCTGAAATTTTCTTCTTGTTCCAAATCTAATAGAAACCATAACACTACATTGAAAACGTCTTAGGGCTACCCAAAAAAAGAAAAAAAAAGAAAAGAAAAGAATCAATTTTGTGTTTCAATTCAATAACCAAATTCATCAATTTCATCAATTTCGTCATTTTTGTCCATTTTTTGTTATTCATTCTACAATTTGTTCTTTTTCTTAATTGTTGAGTGTAAGATTGGTTCGATTACTAATTAAAAAAATCAAGATTATAAGAAGAAGAGTTAGTTTTGTGTGTTTCAAATTAGTAGCTCTAAAATTTAGCTTGTATTCTTGTTGTTTAAACTATACGAATCCATACTTCTTTGGGTATTATAAAAATCATGTGTTCATCGTCATATTCCAAAAGCAAATTTGACGTGATTTGTGATAACTAGAAATATGAGATATGGAACCAACACCAAAGGATCCGTTTGAGACTCTCCAAATTGAAATTAGACATATGAGACAAATGATTAAACTTTACGAAGAAGAAGTACTGCTAAGCAACAAAATGAGGCAATTGAAGTTGCAAATTCCAATGATTATAGTATCAACATAAATGTTGATGTGGTGGAAACTTCTTTTGAAAAGTCCCGACGACATGATGAAGAATCGAAATCTAAAAATTTTGAGGTTGTTGTTACCAACAAAGAAGTTCATGAGGTTGAATTTGTAGGTGTCAAAAACACTCCTAAGTTCAACAAAATTATTGACAAAGCTCTTATTGACAATGTTGGAGACATCGAAATTTTTGACAACAAAGTCGCTAATGTTGTTGCACTTTTTGAGGGTGTTGAAGTCAAAGATGAGGGGTTAATGAGGTCATCAATGAAGGAATAATCAAGTGTGATGTTGCTACCACTAAAGTGTTAGATGAGACTGATGATCTTACAATTGGTTTTCTTGGTGTTGACAATTCATGTAATAGAAGGTCTAGTTCATTAAAGCTTAGCTTTGATGATGTTGGATACAAAATATTTGAATATGTTGTTAGCCACCTAAATGATGTCAACTTTAATTTTTCTAAAATTAATATCGTCATTTGTTACCCACAAGGTAAGATTTGAGGACGAATCTTTTTGAAGAGTGGGGGAATGATACGAACATGGGTCGCTCAAGCCTCATCAACAAGGAGATGGGGTGTTTCATTTTGAGCCTAATCATAAAGGCTAGGGCGAAGAAGTTTTATGAGTCCTTAAATGGACTTATTTAGTATTAATGGGCTAGTTTCTCCATCACTAAGCTTGAAGAACATCAATTAGGATTTGTGAATCGATCTATGCTATTTGGTCGAAAGTTTCAAACTTAAAGTCCAATCTAACCGAACTTTCTTATCTTGATATTTTGGGCTGAGATTGTTAAGTGGCAACCATAGAATTAGCCCACTTCCAAGCCAAAGTCACCATTATTTTCAAGTCAACAAAATCAAGGTTTGGGGCCGAAATCTAATAAGACTTGAATTAATATTTAATTGTTGTTTTTGCTAGATCCTAAGTCATATTTATGTTTTGTTGAATTCTAAGCATCTTAGATTATTAGCTTTCCTAGAATATCAATTCAACCTTTATATGGCAAAATAATGTAATTCAGATTTTTCAATCTTTGATCAATTAAAATATTTTGTGAGAATTCTCTCCTTAGTTCTTTCAAGAACTGCCATTAGAACTTATCAAGAATTTAATAATTATAATAGCGTTTCATAGCGACTTATCACTCTACTTCTACTTATCCGGAGTATGACGTTCATATCCTTTTCGAATCCGATTTGACTATCCGGAGTTCATTTAACTTGTTTATGGGTTCCCTAGCCGAGAGTTAGGTGGGTTCACATCAGCACATGAGCTCCACCTCCACCCGAGTAATTTGACTCGTTAATGATCAATTTCAATTCTTTTCTCATTCTAGCATAAACAGGCATGTAACCACAAAGTGAAGATTTGAGGGCCAACGGTTACTTTCCTTGAACGAGTAGTTAAATATGCTAAATAATGCTACTGACTTCAGATTGTGAACAAAATGATTCTGTTGTAAGAATCAAAACTGAAATTTTCTTCAACTGTATATGAGAAGACTAAATGAATCAATTTTTTTTCCTTCCCTTCTGAGAGAGGTCTGTGGAAATATCATTAAAGGACGAGTGTGTGTAGGGAATTCTGGGATTTAAAAATCAAGCCGGTTTTTTTTTTTTTTTTTTTTTTTTTTTTTTTTTGTCTTTGAAAAAAAGAAAAAAGAAAATGGATAAAGTGTGTCATATTACAATTGGTGAACGGGTGCGAAATTTTGCTCCTTGGAAAGTTGGGCCCATGGCCTTATCCTGCTTGAACCCGTGCCCTTTGATAAAAATGAAAAAGAAAACAATTGATAAATACCTGCTATCAAAGTGTTGTGAAAAAAATAAATAAAAATAAATAAAAATAAAAAGGATGATAATTATAAAAATCTGTGATTGCTGGATCAACTTTATGTCACTTTGGTGCTCCCGCTACTCTACTGCGAAACAAAGTTTCATGTCATATAATTGCTATATACGTAGTTAGAAGAAGCAGTATTTGATTTAAATAAAAAAATCAAATCAAATTGAATTAAATACCAAGTTTGAATTTGATTTTTAATTTGAAATAAAAAATGAATTTAAATTTATTTTTGTCTAACACTTTTGGTTTGGTTTTTGAAATATTTAGTATGGTTTTATAAAAAGATCTAATTTATTTATTGGTTTTATATTTTGAATTTTTGATTGTTATTTAAATTTTATTATTCGATTTACGATATGTTTAAATTATTATTATTTTTTTATCATTATATGTTTTAGATATAGATTAGTAGATTTATATTTAAATTTCAATATTTTATTATGTGAGATTATTTTGTGTTTTAATTTTATTTAAATAAATAGCTATTATTTTTTATGTCGACTAATTTATTTGGATTAGAGAAAAGACTCTATAGTCCAAAACAATTTTTTTTTTGTCTATTTATATTATTTAAATTAATTAAATTTTAT